TTTTGGGGAATTCCCAGGGGCAGGTGTGGTTTCTAGGCATTTCATGACCAGAGTGTGAACTAACCGGAGATCGCCTTTTGATTTATCTTTTTTAATAATATATACATTTTTTTTTCAGAGATACGGCCGCCCTCGAAGAAGGGCTCCCCAGTGATAGTAGACTTTAGCATATTCGTTGTAGATATTAACTCAATTAACGTAGAGGATATGGACTTTAGGTAAGTAGAGCTCGCATCTGTAATCCGAAGAGATCAAGATAGGGAGTTAGCCATCGGTGACGGAGCCCATGTAACGGAGCACATAGCAATACTGTGTACATTTTCAGAGTAGACATGTTTATACACCAGCGCTGGCTGGAGTCCCGTCTGGAGATTCCCGACGACATCTTCGAGGAAGGCGACGACTACGTGACACTGCTTCCAGAGGTCTTTGAGAATTTTTGGCAACCGGATCCGTACTTTCTCAATTCCAAGATTGCCGGTACGTCTGACATAGTGCTGTATATAGCGATATAGAATGATATAGCCTAGCCCGTAAGCTAAAGCTTCATGTGCGAGTGTGTAGTCTGTGTGTGTTGTTGTCAACGTCAACGTGGATTCATGCACTTTGTCCGGCTGAGCTCATCACTTATGTGTCTAATCTAAACTCTCTAACTAACTCTGGACCGTTTGTATATAGTAACGAATTACTTTGTTTTCTTTTGTTTGTTTGTTTGTTTTCCCAAAACTAATCCAACGGTTTCTCTACTACCGATTAACAAACCAAACCGAAACCGAAACCGAAACCGAACCCGAACTAACAATACTCCCCGATACTCCTGCATAGGATACGGAAGTCCATATGTTGCGTCCACTTCCCTGCTACGCAATAAGGGTGAAAGAGATTCGAAAAACTTTCATCTAGACAAAGATTTAAGTATATAAAACAAAAAAATGACTCTAGATCTGTGTGTTCTGCCACTTTTGTGTTTTACTGCCAAAAATCCATCGAACTCGATATCAGAATCAGCGCATACCTCTTCCTTCCATCCAATGTATCCCTGTAAATTGTATATTCAGCATTCTTCGAAATCTATCTATTTACAATGACTCTACGTGTACTGGGCTGATTTGAAAATGAAAACTGCCATATATATATAGTTCTCTGTGTGTATATATCCATCCATAACCATATCGCGCCATTCCTAGCGAGCAGCAATCCAGTGTACATTTCAGATATTTTTTTATAGTTTCTCCCACACACTGACACCCAGCAGACCCGCCCACTAGAGGCCCTCATTACACGCACGAAATCCATTTCGGTTCCAATGCCATGGTCAAATGGGACACTCGAAGCCCTGCTGCACTCCGCTCTCCCGGCCGCTTCTGGCCATCATCGCCCACGCTGAAATCCAAAAACGAAAATTTGCAGTTGCACTCGGTGTTGTCCCGGATAAGATCTCACCTTGAAATCACGTGTGCACCACCCCGGGAAGTCGTTCTTTTTTCCATTCTTTTTCCCCATTTTTGGTTGCCATTGTCAACATTTACGAAGCAAAAATCGATTGCAAATCGGTCAAGCTTTATTTATATTAGCTTGACACGAAGATTTGAGCAAAGCTATTTTCATTTCAACAAATTGTTGTCATTCTGATTAACCTTTATTACAACTTTTGGTTTTTAGCAGTTCGTTTTTATTATTACATTTTATAAACTTGTGAAAATCAATACAGGCTTGCCTCGGAAACCAGAAGATACTACAAATTGAATTATTTCTAAGCTAACTTTAGAAAATATTATGCATTGCGATTTCTTTGGCACACCTGTCAATCATGTTATAGTTTTAGATTATTAAAAGATGAATTATTCTTTAATTTAAGTTCTTCCTATAAACATGCTCCTAATAATACTCCCAATCAAATCGAGTTAAGTAGATACCATCATTTATCCCCCCCACTCGTCGTCAGTAGAAAGTCGCGCTTGTAACTAGACATAAGGTGATCAAGATCACGATCACCATCACGGCACACCACCCACTGAACCACCACCGAAATGAGCAAGAAATGAGTCTATCGATGCCAATGCCATAGTTCTAATCGAAACCCATTTGTTCCGCATCTCTGCAACGTCTTCTCGATGTCTTTTCGTTGTAGAAATAGCGACACTGACCCACAAGTTCACGTCGGTGACGCTCTACAAGAACAAGACGGTACGCTATGCGGCCCGCATGCACGCAATCATTGCCTGCCAGATGGAGTTCCAGCTGTACCCCATGGACATACAGGTGTGTCCCATCTACATCGAGAGCTGTAAGTGAAGGCCAGACTTCAGTATTCAGGGTCTAACCGGGCTTCGTTTCCTTGCAAAGTCTCCTCGAATAATCAAAAGGTTAAGCTGCGCTGGTCGGACTCCGGCGTGACCCTCAATCCGGAGCTGAAGCTGCTGCAGTACAATCTGGGCCAGCCGCTGGAGCTGGAGGAGAGCGACGGCTACATGCCGGAGAAAGTGGGAAACTTCTCCCGCCTCACAGTGTACTTCCGCTTCGAACGCCAGATCGGCCACCATCTGATCCAGACGTTTGCCCCCTCATCGCTAGTGGTCATGCTATCCTGGTTCAGCTTCTGGCTGGGACTGGACGCAATTCCAGGCAGGGTCACGCTCTTGGTGACCTGTATGCTGACCCTGGTCACCATGTTTACGGGTGCCGACATTCCACCAGTGGCCTATGTCAAGGTAAGGTTGCCTTTAATTTTTAGTTGGTTAAGGGCACTTTTCTTAAAGCCCAATTAATACACAGATAAACTGAGAACTATGAACTTGTGGGTCCAAATGAGCAAACCATATAATTTTAAGATCCAGCTTACCCAACCACAAACTTTCGTAAACGTTGTCTTGGCGCCCCCGGGTGAATAGAGTTCTAACCAAGAGTTGCCTCGTTTCAGGCCCTGGACTTGTGGATGGCCGGCTGCATGCTATCGGTGTTCGCCGCTCTGGCCGAGTTTGTTGTGGTGAAAGTGCTGGATGTACAGTATCAGTACCAGGTGAACCGCATACCCAAGGTACTGCCCATGGTAAGGCAGCTGTGGGAATATCGCTTTAATAAGTAATGCCACCCTCTCTTGTCGTTCCGATTCGCGTAGCGCATCAGCAATATGGAAAAGGGTCAGTGCGCGACGGTGGCCAGCTGGGAGGGAGGTGCAGTTCGCTCGCGGAAAGCTACCCAGACGCCCACGACGCCGGGACAGGTAAGCCCATTAGGTGGTTAGGCAAGGAGAACCGTTGCACCTGTCATGTCCACACAAAGAAAATGGAATATTGAATATAAACGGTTTTGGTCGAACTTTTTATTTCAAGTATCAATTATGTTTTTTTCGGATCCCATTTAGACCTCGCTCCAGGGAAACGGGGGACCTCCAAAGCCGGCCCGGAGACAGAGCCTCCTGTCAGTAGCCTGGACGGACACGGATACGGGCGTCGAAAAGATAATGTGGCGGGAGATCGACAAGGTGTCCCGCGCCGTATTTCCAATCCTGTTCTTTGTGTTCGTACTTCTGTATTGGCCGATACTGCTGATGAAGTCGTCCTAGGATTTGGGGAGTTCCAGAATTCACATTTCTGGACTCCGTTAAAAACACGAATGGACGCTATTCTGATGATGGAACAAAATACCTTGACTGGACTTAGAGCCCCAAGTGCAATATTCCAGAGACCTCAGTCTCTGGACTTAAAAAAATGGCTGCGAGAGAGCAGCTCGCTCCCTGTCATCGAAGTACAACTACCAACAAACCAACCAAGAAGGAAAGTCTACAGTTACCTACATAAGTGTGTGCTTAGGTGTTACATACTACGCCTAGATCGGGTTCATCGAATGTACGGATATATACTATATAGTAGCTTAGTTGTCAACTATTTGCTCACGGGGAAAGAGTATCGATCTTAGGCAGTATTTGCTTTGTTCACGATACCGAATGCAGCTCCTCCCTCCCTTTATTTTGAATCTATGCCACCAACGAAGGTTTTAATTATATCCCTCAGACACCGCGCAAGCTTCTCCTAGTTCTAATTAAGTTCGCCTTGTTAAGGCCGCGGATATGTGCTAGTGACAATACCCCCAAATCGAAAGGGTTGTCCCTACTTTGAAAGTATACACACTCTAAAAACTACGAGCTACATATACGCAAGGATCGTTTAATTAAAACTCTTTTTGTATTAGGCTTAAGCAAATCAGCCAAGATATTGGAATTGGTGCTTTACGGAGATAATAAAAGTGGCCTATAAGGATATATTTGGATTGTAAATACATGAAACGGAACAGTGAATGCTTTTAGAGATTTTTACATAAATATATAGAATTATTTATCCATTATAGCGCATTTTAATGCAAACATTAGAGCTGTGGCTTTTACATCTAACGAAACAAACTAAAATCAACGACCTGTAGTTCAAACGGCGCACAGCAGGCAGAATTTTTGAAACTATAAACAATTTATATACATACATACATGATATCTGTTAAGCTAAATCGAGTTTATATTTGATAAAACTACCGACACTCTGTAAATACATTACTTCACAACTATATATACCACATGCATATATATATTTATCTAGGATTGTATCTGCTAAATATCAAGTTAAGTTTATATAAATATATCTATATTCTTTCCATCTTCTAAGTTATGTTGGACCAAAGACCTTTTAATAAAAAGATGGGTAACGTCATAAGATTCTTTTGCACTGGCATTTTTCATGGAAAAGTTAAAAAGTCAAGTGAAAAGCGCTATGGAACCAGCCTATAATCGTATGTTTTCACAAGTTTTCTCAAAAATTCTAGATCGGTACGCCCACATACGCACTTGCTTGACGCTGAGCATACTCACACATGGAAATACATTCTATTTTTAGACTTTTACGCTCACAACTTTTGTCGCTTGTTGGAAATTTGGCTTGCATATAGCAATTCATATGTATGGGCATTATGCATCTTTGTATTATAAGGTCTTTGGCTGTACCCTCTAATAATTGTTATTGAAAAAGCTTTAACTTTATTCTTAATAAAAGACAAGGCGCGTACATCTATCAAAATAAACTAAACTGTGGGTCTTTGTTACAGAATTAACAGGAGGACTTTTGATTTAAGCCTATTCATTTTCATTTCCCTCGGATTCACTGTCGCTTTCCTCCACATCGCTGAACTGCGACTGGTCGTCCTCGCCATCCTTTGACCTAATGAGCAGCATTTCTTCATCGCTATCTTCTGCAAGGGGTTTCGTGCTGCCCTCACTTGACTGCTCAAGCCTATCGGCTCTGTCCAAAAGCACCCTCATTGTGTATTTATTGTAGTCGCATCTGTAGTGAAACGATAGAGGTTTACCCAGAATTTGTAAGGCAAAACACCTTTGGTTACTTACATCTTATTGAGCATTTCGTACTTCCGCGAGAGCACCTCGTGCAGGGCCAGCAGTCCCGTGTGCTGAAAGACGCCGTCCTGGTTGCCGTGCTTGGTCAACAGGCAGCAGCTCCACTGCAAATAGAACTCGATGTGCGGCGTGGCTTGGAGCTGGCGGGCCAATTGTTGCAGCAATCGCTGGGCAAACTCCGGCGACAGATCCGCGCAGACCAGTTCAACTGAAAGAGAGGGCGAGGAGGAGTCAGTGTGCATGCAGTGCAGACACGTGCTGGCGGAGCCATTTGCATATGTGCAGGGGTACTGGAAGGGGCTATTAACCAAGGTGAGCAAAGACTGGGGCGAAGACCTTGAAACTGTTTATTAACACAGCAAAAGTGCAAATTTGCACATTCGATCGGCGGCGGAGTCTCAGGGCAATGGCGGGAGTGGGTCGCAGCTATTTTTAGACGCGACAGAAGGCTGAAGGTTGCCCAAACTGACAAGGATATGCGGCGATTTGGCTTATTACTCACTGTCCCTATACGGCACTTGCTCCAGCACTAGGGCAATCAAGTTGGGCTCGTTTAGCTTCAGGGACATGACGAGCGCCTTTGTGTAATCGTGCTTCTTGAGGGATTCGTGAACCGCCTTCGGCGTGACTTCCAGCGACAGGTCAAACGGATCGAACACAACTCCTGGGGATTGAAACGTGGAATTTAATTAAAGGCAATCCTGTATTGGCAGTTATCATGTCCTACCCTTATCCAGAGCATATATGCAAAGTCCTTCGGTTCCTGCAGCTGCAAAGGCCTGGCCCGTGGGTGAGAACCTTACGGCGAATACTCGGACCTCCTGGTGGAAACGTCTGGAGGACATGTCTCCGCTACGTACGCCTGGCAATCGTATGGCAACCTTACCGCCATCCAAATCTTCGCGCTCTTCCACCAGAGCCATATTGCCGAATTCGGTCATATGTTTGCGACTAATGAAGTCCTGTCAGTTCAAGGATATTGTAGAGTTTGGTTCATAGATTGACTGATTGAAAACTTACAGTTAGTCCATCCAGGCTGTGATTCTGCGTGATTTGGAATTTCTTCAAAAGGATAGCCTCTCTAACGTTATAAATGCAAATGTTGGCCGACTTGCCAGCAGCCAAGATGCACTCTCCATCCGCGGAGTACTCAATGGTGGAGAAGTAACTACAAAAGTTAATTTATACAATAAAACTGTAGGCTACAAGCGTGCGCCTCCTCAACGAACGTGCTTTATACATGCCTATTTTAATCGCTACTTACTTGGCTTGTGCATTCTTCTTTGCTGTTATTATATCAGTTTCCAGCCGCCCGCCACTTAGGTCATTACGTCCCTCTATCGTGGTGCCCTGGGTGGCAGACTTGACGTCGAAAACTGTTATATTTCCACTCAGAGTGGCCACGGCAATCTAAGAAATGAATGTTACATATTAGTTTTACAAACATTGGATATTGTATACTAACCTCCTCGCCACTGGGACTAAAGGCCACGCTAGTTACATCCGAAAGAGCATCAATAGACTCGTGCTCACTGCTGCTCTCCAGGCAGTTCCAAATCTTGACAGTTTTATCCCAGGAACCGGAAACCAAGGTTGACGAGGTGGCCACTGGGGAGAAGGCCAGCGAGACCACGGGTCCCTCGTGGCCGCTAATGATCTCCAGCAGCTTACCCGTCTTCACCGACCAAAGGTATATGTCGAATACGTCCTGGCCACCGGCCACCACCAGCTCACCCGAGTGATCCACAGCCACGCAGGAGAACTGTGCTGGACTGGGCGAGGTGAAGGTCCTAAAATTGCGGTATCTGTAAGGATATTTCAGAGATTAGCCCGTTTAGTTTAGTACAGTGCGTAATACGGCCTACCTGTTAATATCAAAGGCGCGCACCGTACCGTCTAGGGAACTGCTGACCAGGAACTTCTTGTTCTTGCTAAACTGAATGCCAGTCACACCGCTGGTGTGCTCGCTGAAGGTGACAAAGCAGAAGCTGCTCTGCGTATTCCACAGCTTCACCTTCGAGTCCTCGCCACCGGTGGCTATGAACTGGCCATCCGGTGAGTAGGCGATGCAGCTCATTTCGCTGCTGTGCCCCTGCTGCTTCATGATGTACTGCTCGCTTTGCCATTCCCATACCAGCAGCTGGCCGATCTCCCGCGAGGCCAGGGCCACCCAGTCACCGGTGCAATTGAAGAGAGCCGCCGAGATGGGATAATCGGAGATGCTCAGCGAGTGAATCATATTGACGTCGGGCAGCTCGTACAGGTAGAAGGCGCCGTTGCTGAAGGCCACCACCAGGACCTTGGTGCGAGTGTTGTAGTTGGCTGCCGTCAGTTGCACATCCCGCTGCTCCTTGCGCGGCTCATCGGCCAAATAATGGCGGGCTAGCTTCTTGTAGAAGAACGGGTGTCGTTTTTTCTCAGCCTCATCTTTGATTTCATTGACATCCTCGGCCCCAGGTGTTGATTCCCCAGATTCCTCTTTCGCCGTCTGCTTCTCTAGCGTATTTTCAACGTCGTCCTCGGATTCATTATCAGAGTCAGCCGCCTTTTTGCCCCTTTTGCTTTCCGGTGGAAGCAGCGCTGGCCTCTGAGCATCCTCCAGGTCCGAGGGAGCCAAGCTGCACTCCCACAGGCACAGCTGCCCATTGCGACTGATGGTGTTCAAGTGCAGGCTGTTCGCCTCGAAGAAGCAGGAGACAATGCTGTCCGTATGACCACTCAGATTGTACGTGCGAAAGTTCTTCGTATAGTTCACTGCGCAGATCTTGGTGGAGCTGTCACGACAGCCAATAGCCAGGAGTCGCGAGTCCGAGGACCAGTCCAGCCAGGTGACATCGTCATAGCCGCCCAGGAATCTCCGCCTCAGCACAAAGGGATTGTACTCTCCGGTAATCTCACCCGGGGCGCAGAATATCAAGACGACATTAATCACGGCTACGGCGAAGAATTCACCATTTGGGCTGAAGCAGATGCACTGGACGCCGGTCTGGAACTTGTGCCGATGTATCACTGTGCAGGACATCATGCTAATGAGCTGCGCCTCTCCTCTCTCGTTGACTGCTATCAGCAAGCTTCCATCTGGCGAGAGCGCCAGACTCGTGTAGTTATATTTCGATTCCAGAGACAAGGTGCGGGATTTGTTGCTATAAAAACGAAGAGAGTGTTTAAGGAATCCTATGTAGTAAGTTTGCTGCTCACTTTTTCAAATCGTAGACCGTTATCCTGTTGCCCACCGGACTGATGACCGAATTTCCATCCGGCGTGAAGACCAGGTTTCCATTCCGATATATTGTGCCCAGCAAATTGGAAAACTGTAATGCTCCGTCACCATTATTACATGCAAAAGCAGGTCCTGGAAAAGACTTACTCTGTAGGAAAACTTCATTTTTGCGCTTTCGAGGAAAAATTAAAAACGTAAACAAAACCCGCACGTGTTGAATGAAAAATGCACTAAAGCGTCCAACGCACAGTGAGACCATTTTACTCTTGTATATTTATAAAAATACTAAAACAGCTGATTTTTTGGACCTGCCAACGAGGTTTATAAGAGTCACAAAAAAACAAAGGCAGATAAACAACGCAAATTCATCAAGTCCAGTAAATAAATAACTTTTTTTGAGAAATCAACAATGGACTCCAACAAAACCGCTGCGGAAAAGCTGGCGGAGCGAAAGGCGCGACTGCTGGACCTGCACAAAAAGCGCCAAGAAGCACGCACGGACAACCACCAGGAAGTGGTGGCGGAAGACGCCCGTAAGAAGTTGCCCAAGAACTGGGAGGCTCGCAAGCGCCAGGCCGAGTGGATTCTGGCGGATGACAAGGCACGCGCCGATGCAAAGGCGGCAGGCAAGGACTACGAGCGTCTCAAGCTTCTCGAGGTGTCCGCCGTAGACGCAGAACGCATCGAGAAAAAAAAGAAGCGCAAGGACAATCCGGATCTTGGTTTCTCAACATACGAGGCCCAGACAGCCAGGCAATACACCAGACTGGTTAAATCAATGCCGCCCCGCGACATGGAGAAGTATGAAAGGCAGAAGGAAGAGCTGGGCGATGCATTCTACGGCGGACCGCACACAACATTGCATGCCCGGACAAAGGACACGCCGGGCGCCATCAACAAAATGGTCAATGATCTGGAGCAGCAAATAGAGCGCCGTAAGAAGTACTCCCGCAGGCGCATCTACAACGACGATGCGGACGTGGACTTCATTAACGAACGCAACTCAAAGTTCAACAAGAAGCTGGATCGCTTCTACGGCGAGCACACGGCGGAGATCAAGCAGAATCTGGAGCGCGGAACCGCCATTTAAGTTTAGTGTTTATATGTTCAATTTCATATTTTTAAGATCTTAACAAAGTGTACCTAACATTTATAGTGTACCTATGCTTTTTATATTAAAATCGAGTTGGCAGCCCTGCTTCTCTGACCTGGAAGAACTTTGAAATCATTCCGGGAATGAAATGCAGCAGTTTAGTGCCCGCGAGAAGTATTTGGTGTCCAACACCTTGAATTGCTGGCCAGTGATGCTCCAGGGGCACTCGGTACTCATAGACCTGCACAATGAGACGTCCGTGGCCGGGATCATAGACTGCGCCGACGGACACATGACCTGTGAGCTCTCGAAAGTGGTTTTCATCGATCGCAATGGAATCCAGCATCCCTTCGATCACTTCATGGTGCGCAACCGCATGATTCGCCAGATTCACATACCAACGGACCTAGACGTGGAGCAGGAGCTGCGCCAGGCCATGGAGCGCGGCGTCTTACGAAGGAAGCGAGTGGAGACCAAGGGCGGAAAGCGAACCTTCAAGCAAAAGCGAGCAGAGATGCGGCACAAAGAAACACTGCAGATGATCTCTCAGCAAAGGGAAGCGGAAAAAAAGAAACAAGAATCCTAAACTACATAGAATATATTACCACAAAAGCATTTTTATTTATTCCAAGAAATACAAACTTCGTTCCACAGAATATCTTATATTCGCTTAACGCCCGAATCTACGCTCTATTGAGCCTGCTGCTCCTTCTCCTCCTTGTACTTGTAGTGCAGTTCCATGCAGTCTGTGTTGGAAACGTTGACCCAGCCCGTCTGGGTCATGTGGTAAACGCGAATGATGCCGCCAGAGTAGGCATCCCGAAAAGTGGCGTGGTAAATGGCTCGGCGCCCTAGCTCCTGAGCAGCCTCATCCTCCAGATCCCAGTGGTAGCCCGAATCTAGAACACCGTAGGCGAAAAGTGAGCCACTGCCCACGGAGAAGAGATTGCCAGGCGTGCGGGAACCCTCCGAATCAACATAGTACAAGCCAGGACCACGCTTGTCGTAGCCAGCCAGCATCATGCCCATGCTAAGGCCCATGCCCTTGTACTCGTGGGCAATGTTGGCCATGATCTTGCTGGCCGCCGCCACCGAGATGCGCTCCTTGTTGCGAAGCTCGTGCAGGCGGCACTCCTTGGAAAGCACGCGATCCCAGTACACACAATCGGCGGCGCCGCCGGCAAGTGTGCCCAGCAAAAAGTCATTGATCTCCACAATCTTCTTCATCGATTGCGAGCCAATGTACTGGCCGCCAGTGGCACGAGAGTCCACGGCCAGGATGACGCCTCCCTTGAACTTGAAGCCCAGCGTTGTGGTTCCATGATCAAAGTCGATTTTGATGCCGGTCTTGTCGGCATTGGCCTGGATCTGGTTCAGGTTATGCATGGGCTACGAGGGTAATTAGAAAGAGGTTTAAATCCCCGAGATTTTGATAATTTCCCAGCTTACATTCTCGAATGGCGGAGCAGCCAGGGTGTAGGGATTGGCCAGGTTGCAGGTCAGTCCCCTCAGGTCGTCCTCCACATCCGCCGAAGTCCAGGCGGCCGGCTTCATGTAGGAAGCATTGGATATTTTGCAGATCTCAGCCAATGCCATTTTATATGTTTCTTTAAGTCAATTTAAGGTTTAATGCAAAATGCGAATGACAAACAGAAATCGCATTTACAGTGTGGCCAAAGCTTCACAACATCTATGTCACTATCGATATATCGGAGTTTTTGAAAATTGAAATTATTTTCCAGCATCAATTAAAAAAAACTATTTTGAATGCATTTTTTTTACTTGCACTTTTGTTGTATATTAGTTATTTCGTCATTAATATTGTTACGATAAATGCAGATATCGTATATTATTCTCTAGTGTGACCGCACTTCATTTTAGCCACCATCCCAAACTATCAAATGAAAGCGATAGCTAAAAACAAGTTGTCAGTCCCGCCCAAAACCTGTTGCCAATTTTTACCTGTGATTGGCTTTCTTCTTTAAGTCTCTTTTAGGCCTGGCTTGAAGCCAAATTAACTCTGGGCGTTCCACAAACGTAGGCAAAATAGTGCAAAATCCGGGAATTGGATTAACTGTAATGACTATAAGAATGTGTAAATACGTGGGAGTGGCCAAAAGCATGTGTAAATAAGGGCGCGAAATCGGAAATCGAACTTGAGTGAAACGTAAGTTGGTAAAATAGAAAATCAAGGCGCAGTTCAAAGCTGGGTTTTTGGCCTAGGAATTTGCAAAGTAATTGTTAACAATATAGCTAACTTGGTGTTTTCTCTATAATTTCAAAGTGCAAAGACGTTATTCGTGTAACTAACGGTGTATATTTGTAAATATTTCACCTTTTCTTTTAAAATCGTATTGTAAACCCAGCACTTGGGCTTGTAATTGCAATTTCTACGTGGTACGCCATTACGTGAGGCACATACACACATGCGCATACACAGTGGAAAATAGGATCTAAGATCATGTCTCTTTGATCTCCGGCCAAGTTGATCTTATAGGAGGTTTATTTAGTAATAAAAAACTACATTTTTCATACCTGATATGTGGTTATGCATGAAGTCAAGTCAAGTCAATAATAAATATTCAAATGAGAATTTGAGAAAACGCTACTTTTCATTATTTTGATGAAAACTTAATAAAAAAAAATGTCATGTTTTGTTTTGATAACAACTTCGAAATCAGAGGCATTATGCTTTGAATTTTACATTTTAACATCACTCGAAGAATGAAAGAGTTGAAATAATTTCTAATTGAACTAAAAAGTTAAAACCAACTGGATTAAAATTCAATTTAAATAAACTACTTAATATTTTAAAGTCACACCAAATACATTATGAATATTAATATATGCATAATACATTCAAATTGATTGCATTTAAATCTTTCATCAAGAATCACAGAAATCAGTGCTTAAACTTTTTGTTTTGAAAAAGTGAATTCTCTACGGTCGCGTGCGAATACCTTACATTTTTGTAATTATCTTGAAAACAAACAATTGTCAAAAAAGGAACTTAGCAGCAATTATAGTGCTCACCAAGAGCTATAGTATTCAATTATTTTTAAACTTAAAATTAAGTCTTCCCACATAATTTTTTTTTCAGTTTGAATGCGTACAAATGTCGCGTTCAACGTATAGTAACCAAAATTTTATATTTCGTTTGTCTTGTTTTAAAAAGTTGAATATTATTATTTATGATGTATAATTATAATATATTGTAATTATTTATTGTTCACGCCAGAAAGGCGCTCAATTTCGGGAGGCAGTGTGATCCCGAACGCTCTCCTTTTCTCTCCCTCTTCCTCTGGACTTCCAGTCCAAAGAGCTTCAAATCCGCTCTCCCTAGCTATAGTTTCTTTTGTATAGTTTAGTACCAATTTACATCTTACTCAATAAACATCCCGACGCACGTCGCGTAAAACCCCGACAAGTCCGTGTTCTTATTTCGAGTGCATTTCAGCTTAAAGCCGCCCCCCTCCAACATTTGGTCCTTCGAGCCGGATTTTTCGTCGCATCTACCAGCAGCTCCGGTGGCTTTAACACCGCACCAGATAAGTCCATTATATTATTGCTGCCGGTCATACAGTTAGGTTTTGCGAAACTCAATTCGTCTTAACTTCTCTGTATGATTATTGTCTAAATCCAAGTCCGATTAATCCGACACTACGGCAGCATAATACCTTCCAAAAATCCAAAATAATTCGGTATTCATTTCCTACATTTGTGCCAAAATCCAAATTGTGTGTGTAAATAAATGCAATAGCCACAGTGAGAATTTAATTCCAATAGTTCTCAATTCCTCTTCGTTAACTGTGTTCCTGCTAGCATTTATTTACATTTACATACATATACAGTCCACTCCATAAGACTACGATCGCTGTCAACATTGACATTTCCCCAATTCGAGAAATTATATCCAAATAATTTCTATACAAGATCTACGGGTTCCGAAATTCATAGTGTTTGTTTAAATAAATGCCTAAGCCACAGTAAAACTTTCCAATTTCGAATTATTCTTAATTCCATCTCGTTTACTGTGTTCCCGCTAGCATTTATTTACATTACATACATACTACAAATACAGTCCACTTCACTCCGAAACTTATATTTACAAATTTACAACAATATAACTACATACATACATAAAACAATAACTGTCCGCAGGTACTACAATTATAAAGTGATTTAATTCGTACATATATTTGTTTATTTGCTCCCTTGCTCTATCCTGAGCTGCAGTTACATATGTACATACATACATAATCGTCTGCAAGTCGACGCTCCAATATTTGGCAATTTTCCGCCTCTCCTTATCTCCGCTATTTTGCACTTGCATACGACAAGTGCACAAATAGACATACACACGTATTGGTTTCAAAATACAGCACCGGTCAATCACATAAGTCCAGATCAATAAAATAATTTGTAAATTATTTTATATTAAAATTCCAACTAACGAATTAAGTTAGAAATCCAAGTGCGCTTCCGTATCCGCACTAGTGTGACCGTATATTATTCGCTGCTGACCGGAATTATTAAATTAAATTGCATATTTCCGTTTTAAATTCCAAGGGAGAAAATACAGTTTTCCACAAATATAATTATTATTTCAAAATAATTATTACGAGTCCGATTGGTTCCTAAATTCCCAATCAAACTTCGACACATTACTATTTCGTAATATATATTTACAGTAAATTGTCGTAAAAAATATATAAAATGACTTCTACTATTTTGAAGAAATTTACTTTGATTTGTGACCGTCTGAGGCACTTCGACTCCAGAGTCTGCAATCCAGCAGCACCCACTCCATCCAAATACACCTGCCAAATTCATCTCGACCAAGTCCGAGCGCTATGGGATAAGGTCGAGACAGAGTACGAAGCTTGTTCAGAGCTAATTTCAGTTGGTTTAGAGGGCGCTGCAGACACCCTGCCTACTCTTAAGGCAAAATACGACGACACCTATTCCATTTATGAACGGTGTGCCGCCAAGTTCATGGAACAGATCGATACGATCTCCTCCAAAGCGGCTCCAGTCCAACCTCCTGCGCCCCAAAATTCCTTTCCGTCTGGCTGTCGGCTTCCTCCGTGCGAAACGGAAGTTTTCTCGGGCGATTATCTTCGCTGGCCGACTTTCCGGGACCTTTTCGCAGCGGTCTATATCGACAATCCTACGCTGACCCCTGTAGAAAAGTTGTTCTATTTAAATGCCAAGACGAGTGGTGAAGCTCATTCCATAGTTTCAAATTCGCCACTGACCAACGACGGTTTCCGCTCAGCATGGAACAACCTGTCTGAGCGTTTCGAAAATAAACGCGCGTTGGTGAACAGCCAACTGAAGAAATTACTAAACATTCAGTCCATTGAACGTGAGTCCTCGGCAGCCTTGAAGGAGCTGCAAAATACAATTCAAAATTGCCTCACATCCCTAGCTCTGTCCGGCCTTCCTACGGATAATTGGGACTGCCTCCTGGTTTATTTGTGCTCCACGAAGCTTCCAAAGCTGACGCTTTCCTTATGGGAGCAATCCTTAACAAATAAAACCGATATTCCGTCGTGGCTAGAACTCGATTCTTTCCTTACTGAGCGCCATAGAACTCTGGAAACCATCGATTCTCTCCAGCCTCCTACGATATGCCTCCGTTCGTCTAAACCGACAATCTCCGACCAGTCGCCACGAGTACTACAATCCTTTAGTACGCGGATTGTTCACTTATCCAAAAGATGCGATTTGTGTTCTGCAGAGAACCATCCAGTGCGTAAATGTCCACGCTTCCTTCAAATGACGATAGAAGATCGTACTTCATACATTGAGAAAAAGCAGTTGTGCTTAAATTGCTTTGCAAGCGGTCATCCACTCCGTGATTGCACAAGCGCCCACAGCTGTCTTACGTGTCACGGTCGGCATCACACATTGTTGCATCCAAGCAACACTTCATCCAGTGTTCCGAATCCTCGAGATGACGCACCACAAATTCCTGCACCCATCCAAAGAATTTCCTCGTTCTCCACACGAGTGACTACTTCGGCCGATTCCAATTACTGGGTTCCGTACGACGACAGCAAGAGCAGACGTTCCCGAGGTATTTTATCCTACCAATGCCGAGTCTGCCAAGGGAACCATCCTCTTCGGAAGTGCCACCGTTTTCTCCGGCTTGACGCGAAGAAACGGCTCCAGACAGTCATCGACAGGAAGTACTGCGTCAACTGCCTGGCCCACCACCATTCCGGAGGATCCTGTCGAAGTAGCGACCGATGCCAGTCGTGTGGACAGGATCACCACACCCTTCTACATGCCGACGAACGCTCAGCGTTATCCTACGCTTTCCAGAGCTAATACTTCCTGGTACTTTTGCTGCGTATCCTCGCAAGGGGGGAGAATGTTCACGCCAGAAAGGCGCTCAATTTCGGGAGGCAGTGTGATCCCGAACGCTCTCCTTTTCTCTCCCTCTTCCTCTGGACTTCCAGTCCAAAGAGCTTCAAATCCGCTCTCCCTAGCTATAGTTTCTTTTGTATAGTTTAGTACCAATTTACATCTTACTCAATAAACATCCCGACGCACGTCGCGTAAAACCCCGACACGTCCGTGTTCTTATTTCGAGTGCATTTCAGCTTAAAGCCGCCCCCCTCCAACATTTATAATTATATAATTTCGTTATTATATCTCTTTTTAGAGGCTTTATATGATTCACAGACAATGCAGCATGGATCCTCCCGCATTCCGAAACAGGAAGCCTTGCCAAATGCCATCTCCGGGGTGGGTTTTTATTTATTTCAATCACAAAAGCTTTCCTTATTAAATTCCTATATCCCTCCCCAAATGCAGCCCGATTCCAGCAACTGGACTTCGCTGCACGAGGCAGTGGTCGCCGGGGATGATCGGCGGGTGGAGGGGCTCCTATTCAGCAATGCCGACCGCCTGGCCAAGGAATCACTGCAAGGCAACACCCCGCTTCACGAAGCCGCTAGTCGGGGGTTCAGCCGGTGCGTGAAACTGATCTGTGCACCACCACCGCCACCCACTGCCCCGGGAACGGGTGGCAAGGCGATACGAGGGCAGAAAGACAAGGAAAAGGACAAAGAAAAGGACAAAAGCAAAGGCAGGGCCAAGGTGGCACATCAGACCATCGAAGCCCTACACAACAGCGCTTTGGGTATTGCCAACAACGAGGGGCTGTCCGCTCTGCATTTGGCTGCCCAAAATGGACACAATCAGAGCTCCAGGGAACTGCTATTGGCGGGCGCAGATCCCGATGTGCAGAACAATGTGAGTTCACAATACTTGCGGCCTAATAGGCTGAACATCTTCCTAATTTATGCTCTATCCATTCCATTTGCAGTATGGCGATACACCGCTCCATACTGCCTGCAGATATGGACATGCCGGGGTCACCAGAATCCTACTCTCGGCTCTTTGTGACCCCAACAAAACCAACCTGAACGGCGACACCGCGCTGCACATCACCTGCGCCATGGGTCGCAGGAAACTCACAAGAATACTCCTTGAAGCGGATGCCCGCCTAGGGATCAAGAACGCCCAAGGTGACTGTCCCATGCACATAGCAATCAGGAAGAACTATCGCGAGATCATCGAGATCCTGAACACGCCCAAGAAGATACGGAACCGGAAGGAGAAACATAACGAGGGCGGAGGCAGCAGATCGGACAAGGAGAAGGACCGCGACAGGGATGTGGTCGACAAGGGGATAAATTGGTCGCCGTACGGATGTCACTACTTTCCCGATCCGCGTGCCTTTCCCTCGCCCAAGCTGGAGACTCTACCTAAGGAGCCGCTAAAGGCGGGAGAACAGTACTTCCTGGACTTGGCCGGTCATATCCACAAAGGTCCCGTTAGTGTGGGCAACACGTGCTATTGCGGACCCTTTTTCCGACACATCGAGAACAAGCTGAACTGCAACCGGAAGAGCCTCAAGAAGTATGTCCACAAGACCAAGGAGCGACTGGGGCACAAGGTTCAAGCATTGGCCATCAAGACCAACGACCAGATAGAACAGCTCACCAGAACGATGATCGAGGATCGGCTGAGATGCGAGAGCAAGCGGCAGCACCTCAGTGAGTTCCTACGCCGGGGCGAACCCATGCGATCCACATTTGACCAGCAGAATAAAAGCTCGCGAATCGAAAGGACACTCTCCAGGTGCCGGAGTCTGGAGCTCTTGGAAAGCAACCACGAAGGCGGCAGGCTCACCAACTCCCGGAGTGTAGATATACTCGAAGACCAGGCAGTGGAGGCCCTAGTACACCGATCCGCAGAGCCTCCTCTGGAGAGCGACAGCGAAGAGGATTCTAATGCAGCTGGTCAGGAGGATGAGGAGGAGGAGGAAGAAGACGAAGAGCCGGTTCCGGATCAGGGAGAGCCGCAGGATCAAGTTGACCAACTGGAGCACTCGAAACTGGATGAGCTAAAGCTGGATTTCCTAAAGGTATCCAAACGTCTGGGCGTACTCCTTGAGAAAACCACCTTGATAATGGAAAGGGATAGTGAGCAGGAAAATAAGCACCAGCTATCATCCCTATCCCCGCCCTACAAGCCAGAGCCCAGAGCCGAGTCCGCTCAACTCCGGGGAGATAAAGAGAGCGTAAATAGTCCAAGCTTTGACGAGTACACTCATATCATGCGGCGCTACCCGAACTCCAGCGAGACCTCCAATCCCTCCCAGAACTCCAACAGTTGGGACTGGGAAAACTCGCCCACGGGCAGCAATCCTCCGCCAGAGTACCATAAATATTATCAACGCATTGGCAGGGGAGAGAACATGCTGAACTCCGTGATAAAGGCCCTGCGGAAAGACGCCTCCTTTGCGGATCTGGGAAAGGAGGAGGCTGCCGTTAATGAAAGCGCCGAGAGATTAGGCGGCGATAAGTTGCTCTACAAGGAGCAGCAGGCCTGCGAATCAGCTGGCATCTCCAACCTGATTAAGCGGCAGCCACTGTGCTTGGATGACAACTATCCCGTCATGTCGAACCTGTTTTACTCAAACCCCATCATGGAGTACGTCGAGGAACCGGAAGTGCGACCCAATGGCAGCGAGCACGGGAACAAGGTGGAGATCAGGAACAGTGAGATCAAGTGCCTGAAAAAACCGAATGCCGGCCAAGTGCGCGACATGGTGGCCCAACTGCAGAACACCATTGATTCCAATCGGCAGGACTCCCAAGTGGCCAATGTGATCGCAGCAAGATCCCTTTCCCGCTTGAACAATAATAACTTCCAGCACATTGAGGCCACCTCCTCCAATCCCTCGCCCACTTACAGTATCCCGCACAGAAATGCTGCTGCTGTCCCGCAGTTCGGCCTGCCCGAGAGGCACATACCCAAAGACGCCTACTTTCATGAACTACCCCACCGCCCGCAGAATCCACCCAATCCGCAAAGAAGAATCCACACCGGCTACGCACCAAATGCGAATTTCTATCGCAACGAAGACCTCTACGTGGAACGAGTTCCCCAACCGCATCCTGCCCTGCGGCAGGGTGCGTCCGCCTACAGGCCCATTCAGTCGCCCACCTTCCAGGCCATTGTTCCGCCCCATTCTAATCCTCATCCTAGAAACTGGCCGCATCCCAACCTTCCAATATCGAACGATATCGATCTTGATGAGGTGTCAGCCGTTGGGCTTTACAATAACGTCTCGAGTCTGGTTTGAGCCGCCCCCAAGTGTTCCCATTGTACATAGATACTCCTAATATATTTATCTTATTCCTAATCATGTTCGAAACTAAAGCAAAAGTTAATTTATTTCCAATTGAATCTAATCCAGAGGGTTATAAATATAAATTTAAACTTACTTATTATGTGTAGTTGTAATATAAAGATTGTGGGTCTTAATAATGGTAAGAATTTGGATATAGAAGAGGTAAGTAGGATTGGCGAGTTTTAAATTAAAAATCAATTCCTGCTACGCTTTCTTAATAAAAACTTGTAAAGTTAGCGACACAGTTAGTGCACAGGTACAATCCATTTTTTAAATAAATTGTGGCACGCTCACTCGTCAAATTCTTCATATACTTTATATACCCACATACATGAGCAAAAGACTTTTTGAATCGTCAGAAAAAGGCAAACGGTCCGTGAATGATCAAGAACCGAAAAATCTGATCGTCAGCAGAGCGCGATAAAAATTCAATCGGTTGCTCTCGGACTCTTTGCTCAAAAGCTAAGAGAGAAACACTTATTAGTTATTTGCGAGGTATGCGAGTGAAGACACATTTTCACTTGGTGATTTTTTACAAGCCCAATCCTCAAATGAAAAGCCAAACCGATTGCTTTCGATCAAAATATATTTTTCTTTAAAAATGTTTAATAATAGTATTTATGCATGTGTAAATATCAGAATGTCAAGTATATATATATTATATTTATTGATAACAGATCATTTTGGTGTTTTGATAGACATGCGGCTTATAAACACGGTAAAATGTAATTGTAAACGAAATCAACCAGGAAATCATCTCAATAATCGAGCTCGGATGCTTGTGGGTGGGAATTAAAAAAAAACTCAAATTCCCACCGCTGACAGAGAAGTAAACAATTGAATTGGGAAACATTTTGATATCGTTTCACCAAATATGTCTGTGGGTTTTTTGTTTTGTTTAGTACATTATCTTTAGCAAGTGCCTAATGATGATTTCTCGATGTCTTCGTAGTTAATTTAAAATCCTATAAATGACACTGCTGCACTGACGGTGCCCTCTGCTACTTAAATTTACCGGCCACTTAATAATATCTTAATTCTGAATAGTCATATTACAAATACAAATTACAATAGCCAATAATTTAGTCACCTCGCAATGTATGTTAATGTCTCTATGTAGGTATATCTATGTAAGTATGTTTGTATATCGCCTAATTTAAGTCTATTAATAATAGTTGTTGCTTTTTGTTTGTTTTGGGGCGTTTTTGTTGGCTTGGAAACTGTGGTTGTTGATGCGACGACGACGACGACGTGAGTGAGTACTTAACAATTTTGCTCTTACGACTGCTGTTAGATGTGAACTACGATCGCTCTTTTGCTGCTGTCTGCAAGTGACATATTCTCGGTCAGGTAATGTCTCAAAGGGGACTGGTGTCGGAGTCTTCGCGCTCTTGGATTGTTGTAATGCTCTGCTGCAAGGCATTGGGTGTCAGCCATTCTCTAAAAACCGGTGGGAATAAAAACGAACAAAGCAAATGATAATGATCTGCTGTTAAATCAATGCTAATTATATTGAAGCTTACTTTGGCAAACATCTTTGTAGAAATGGCACACAGGAGCTGAAATGCGCTAAACGATTGACCCAGCTGGGTATTTCTTGGCCGCAAAGTATCTAAAAGCATATGCAAAAGAAAAGAGTCAAGTCCAAGGGTTGTGTAATTCAAATAACCTTTCCAATTCCCCTGAATTAAATGCACTGGCTGTGAATTCATTGATTGTTTGGATTATTCACATTTGACTGATTGCAAAATAAATTGTTTTTCAAAAGATAGTCATCTAAGTGTCAAATTAAAGTTTTTGTGCCCTATTTTTTCCTTGAACTTATTGAAATTTGAAAATCATATATTTACTAAAATGTACTAAGTACATACATACAAATATTATAGTAGAAAATCTCGGCTAAAACTCTGTAAAAAGCAAAATTTGTAACATTAGCTTTAATGAAACATGCATGCTAAACCAAATACTCATTATTTCAGGAACAATTAATGAATATATCAAATGGATGTTTATAAAAAGTGGAATGATGCATTAAAAGTAAAAAAAAGTGTGTTCCATTTTTTTTAATTTAATTGGTGCCACTGTTTATTTTGAGGATTTGTCCAAATTCAAGAAATTTAAAAAAAAAATTTACTAATTTAAACGCTAAAAATACAGATATCACTTTCGCGGCGAACTATTTAAACCGCAAAACGGGATTATTTTAACGAAACAAATTTTAAAATGTCATGCATTAATGTCTTTTTCTTCTGCTTTTAATTTTAAATTAGAAATATAGAGTAGTTTATTTTATATTTAATTTTAAACCCTGTCGCACGTGACTTTAATTTTTTTTTTCCCCACCATACTTAAGATGTTGTTTTTACTGATTAAGTAACCTTGATGAGCATAGTTGCTTTTGGAAGAAATTAGAAGTTATTATCAAAAGAAAACATGCCTTTTTGAACACGACGGATGGCTTATTTTTGATAACAATGATTCATTTCAACGTATTTAGGCCGTAATTCGTGGTATCTGACAATCGATGATTCACGTCACACATTTCGGCAGGCACACCTTTATTATTGCAAACATTTCCCAAAGGGTTTGGTCAAAATATCCAAGACTAACCCCATTCTCACCTGAGTTAATGAGCCCGAGAAGTGGTTGCAGTTGTTGTTCATGAGATGGTAGCGATCGCCCCGAAACTGATTGCCCAGCTCCTCGACAATCCGGCGTACCTCCTCGTATGTGAAATCGGTGCAGCCAATCTGGATGCTCTGCCGGAACTGAAACTGGTCGCCCAGCTCGTCGTGGTCCCGCGGCGAGATCTCGAAGACCCCCGTAAAGGGGAATGGGTGTCCGCCGTAGGCGAACTCGGTGCCGAACGCCTCTACGCCGGAGTGGAATACGCCCAGTCCAATTGAGGTGGTGTACTCGTTGATCCAGTACTGCAAAGGGCACATGCTTTGTATTGCACAAGAATTGTAGAATATATAGAGAGTAATATAATCACCATGTCGTAGACATTGAGAATAACTGGCTCGCGAGTCCCCATATTGGAGGGCAACAGCTCTTCATTACCGATCTCGTCTTTGGGTACACTGAGACAGCTCGGAAAAGACAGATTGCACGGCAATCCGTTGGAGAACATTGATTAAATGCGTCGTTGGTTTTGCGGGGAACGAAGAGTGTAGTGAAGTCTGCAACGAAGGGAAGACGAACGCCTTTAATTAATCTCCCCAAGCATATGCTGGGGCAAATCCATACACATATATGAACATACTTATGTGTATGTGTGACCGCAACCTTACTGGAATTGGACAATTTAACAGATTCTCGGATCTGCACACACCGATGTACATATGTAAATATATCGCGAGTGCGTAAGATACACGAGAACTTACATATATGTACATATGTATCCGCGGATGCATTCACATTACATATATTCGTAAGTATGTACAAAAGTATGCGCATATATTTGGTTTGAAAGAAATGTGTCATAGCGGCAAAAGGAACTTACACTTGACCAAAGGACTCCTCTTCTCAGCACGTCATATTCTAAACAAAAAATTTAACAAATCATAAGAGGCCAAATTATACGGTAAAACGATGCTTTTGTTTTTAGTTTACACAAAAAATTTTTGTTTATGGATTGGTGACAGCGTTGCCTATTTAGCTATTTACCCTCTAGATCTGGCGGTTTTCAAACGCACTAGAAGAAATTGTATGCTATCGGCTAGCTAGAAATATCGTGATTTTCCAAGCGAAATTTGCCTTATTTTACCTTCTTATAAGAATATTATTTTTAAGCATTACGATTCCATACTTGAGGCTGGTACTAACATAATATAAATTATCTTTCGAAAATAAAATTAAATACAACAAATAAAATTAAATTTACGCATTAAAAATATACCCAAATTTGAATGAAAAATTCTACACTTTTCGGGAAAATTTCTTTAAATCTTGTTCTTTTCTGTTACATTATTTTTTTTGTTATTTTTTGTTTTTAAATAATTATTTGCGACAGCCACTTGCATTATATTAAAGTAAATAATTAATTTTTTTTTTTTTTTTGTTTAATTTATCACTCCACCATAACACATCGAAACCAAAACAATAGATATTCTGGACTGAAGATATCTTCAACTATATCCCATATAAGCTGCTGAAATTATCGCGAAACATCGCCGATATTTTTAAATCTAGGAAAACATATTGTGGCTCATGAACCAGTTCCAATGTGAGCCACAGCTGACTGCTTATCAGAACTGGCCCATTACCAACTCGTTCCATTCCCGTTTCCAAAAGAAATCTCAGACGAAAAACCCAATAATTATAATTAATTCACAAAGAGTGTTTTGCTTTGGCTATAAAGGCTGCAGCCACAGTTACAAAGCACCAAGGACCTTAGAATTAAGCCGAGCTAAGGGTTCACTGCCGCCTGCAAGTTGCCGTGACGAAAATCCAAATCGATTGTTGGCCACAATAAAGAATAAACCAAACAATTGTAAAATAAACAAAAATAGGACAAGTACAAGTGATGTTATACCTGGGATTAAGCAGCCAGAAGGAAGTTATCAGATCCGTTTTACTACTTAAAGTGCTGCCAATGTGGGTGTGGTTGAGCAGTAATTACAACCGTGGGCGTGAGTATAAATAAATGTCAAACGTTCATCTGAAACATGATCAATTTTACACTTTTAGATAAACTATTCACGCTATAAGGAATCTACCCTCTAGACATGCAGCAGGACCAACAGAGAGCAAAGGAAAAGCAATAAGTAGCAACGACGTTATAAGTGAATCCTTAAAGAGACACGTTACAGTCATGTTTTCCGATGACACCGATGAGCTGGACACCATTGCCGATGTCATGGGACTGCGCACCCAGGCACGCCTCAACACATTTCGCGAGATGTGGTACCATGTCTTTCTGTGGGCCCTCTTCTCCTCCATCTTCATCCACACTTGCGCCGCCGTGGTGGCCTTTGTTACACTCCGGAAGCACAAGTTTGGCCGGTTCTTTTCGATTCTGATCCTCGTCATGGGATTCCTATCGCCCGCTTCGAGTGGTATCATCAGCAGTGCGGTTATCGCCTTCGTGCATCGCGCTTCCAGCCTACCCATGTCTCCTATATACGCCATGGTCTGGGGCCTTGGGCAGACAATAGTGTCTGCTTGCTTGGGCTTCACACGCATCTTGGCCACGCTATAGAGTATGGACTGATAATTCTTCTTTAGGCGGACTACCACTGTCATCTCCCCAATCCCAGATCTTCACAAAATTCTTGTTGAGTTTACCAGCAATATTATAAATTCTTCAGGTGCAAACAAATAATTCAATTCAAAAAGCTTCGTGTGTAAGGATATTGTGATTTTTTTATATATATACCTTAATACGAAGAGAGAAATAATGTTAAATACTTAGCTTCTATCCTAACCTTAAAACTAATTGTACATAATATTGGAACATTATAAATATAAGGAGGTCCTTAAGCTAAGCTGGTGTTTTGTTTGATAACTGGGGTTGCGCTAGAGATTTATATCAAAGTGTTTGGATCCCTGGCATTGTACAGAGTGTGTAGTTTGTTACTTAAAACGTTTCCTATGCGCCTTTCGGTGTGCAAGGGCTGGGGTCCATTACAGCGTTTGATCTTCAGGTCGGCCAACGTCTGTATGGCTGCGGGATCATTTGAAAAGTGATCTAGGAGCTTCTTGGGGCAGGGATATTGGGCTATAATTGACTCAGCCACCTCGAGGGTGACTTGTGGCAGCCGATTTAAATGCTGTTGCCAGAGGCGGCCATACCCATTGCCTTGATCCACGCGGACGCACTGCTTCTTATCGTTGGCCACGTACTTTTTGAAGCATCCCAGAGTTTCGTTGCGCTGCTTCTTGTAGGGAGCTTCCGCTATAGCTTTCGTGTACCGCTGGATAAGGGCCAACAGTTCCTGGCTTTCGGGTTGGCCCAGCTGCTCAACATGGAGCTCCTGGAGCAGCTGCATTTCTATCAAAGCATCCTGGCTGGTACTGCTGTTTTTATTGTGACGAAGCTTGGGCAGTGCTATCGTATAATGGCAATTGGGGAACAAGTCCTGTAACCTGGGTCCAATACACACTAAGCTTTGATCCTTGGCAGCCTTGTGGAAAGTGGATTCAGAAATCCACTGGACCACTTGATCCTCTTTTTTCCACGCTTCATCTAGTCCAGTGGGACTTGTTCCCAGAGCAATTACCTGCTGTCCTACATTACGTTCCCAAAATATGCAGTGACTGACAGGTAAGCTTCGAATTTCATACTTCAAGGTGGAGGAATTCAGCAGCTGAAGGAGCTCCTGACCCACGGAAATGCCCAGAAACCCGGTATCTATCACAACCCGTACATATTTCATGCACTCTCCAGGTTTAATTCGCTTTTGTTGATCCCGTAAAGCCTGTTTGTGCAGTTTATCCACTTTATTTGACATTTTGTAGAAGCGAATTGCGATGCAAACAGTTATTTTATTGGTAAATGGGCACACAGTTCCTCGACCGTCTAGATCACTGCTGCAAGACTAGCTCTTTTCCCGTCAAATCAGGCTTCTTTCCATTTATATTTTGTTTCGTTCTCCCAGTCAAACCGGCCTGCTCCGGTAATCGAATTGGTAAAATTATTTTTTAATCGATCCTCGTTTTCGAATTCGTATGATTTCTGCGATTTCTAAAAGGTTTGTATGGCTGGAATGAAAAGCAAATTGTTATTTTGATCTAAAATCAGATATTATTTACTAAAGGAGAAATAAGTTTACTCATTGGTCTCTTGATATTTATTCCACACCACCACAAGATCATTCTGTTACGCAGTTGTTTTATAAGAAATGTATTTCTGACCCGCCTCAGATTTGGTAAAAAATTGTTGCCGTCTTCCACAAGAAATTGTAACACGGCAATGCCGGGCTAGCTCAAGATGCCCAGGACGGGTTCGACCCGATGCCCACAGTCCGCACAATTAAATACCGAAAATATCGAACGTCTCCCTTCTGCCTCCTATACATATATGCCTCATATATTTAATTTAAAAAAATAATATTTTAATAAATATTTAAAATTTAATAAATAATATTATTTATAAAATATTTTATAAGAATTTTTTAATAATGGCTAATTATAAGCATATATTTATAATTTTTTTTTATTATTTAAAAAATATTATAGCTTATCCCATAAAATATTAAAATTTTAAATGATTAAATTAATAAAATAAATAATTAATACATTTATCATTTCTAAATAAAATTTATTTTTTAAATTTAGATACCTTTAAAAATGAATAACATTTCATTTCTTATATAATATTTTAAAAAATTTTACTACATTAACTTAAATATTATATTAACTCTTTTAAAATCGAGAACAATAAATACTTATTTTTTATTTAACAAACGCTGATACACAAGGTACAATAAATTAAATTTTTTTGTAAATAAAATTTTTTTTAAATTATTAAAATTTTTTTTATAATACTTATAAACTATTACTAAAACTTTTTAAACAATACTAAAACGCTATAATGTATAGTTATTTTTTATCATTAAAAAAATAATATTAATAATTTATAAATAAATTCTAATTAATTTATATTGATTTGCACAAAAATCTTTTCAATTTAATAAAAATGCTTTACTAAATTAGCTTCAAATTATCATGCTACATTTTATATCATGTTACATGTTAATTTTTAAATATTTACATTTTAAATAATAGGGTGTATAATCCTAGTTTTTTATTAAAATTTTTTACGATTTTGCAATTTAATTTATCAATTGATTATAAATGACTTCCACTTAAGTTAATTGTATTCAATTAATAAATTAAATTGCAGAATTGACGCCAAGCGGACGAAATGTATGGCTTTTATATTTATATTTTAGATATTATATTTATCGGATTATAGCCGTAGGACACTGGCGCATTAATTAGAGACTTCATTAAAGATTTGACAGTGTCATACGGCTATAATTGAAAAATGTATTAGCCAGCTCATTGACAGTATGGTCTCACAATGAGAATTTTATTTTTATAGCATTTCGCTGGTTTTTGAACTGAAAAAATATTAGAAAATTGGGAAAAATAATATGCTTTCGGTGGCAAGGTTGAATGGCGAATGGCGGCCGTTTTTTTTGTTTAAGCCTAGTACTCTGACGAGAGAAAACCGCTGTATAAATTTAGACAGCGGCCAAACTCCATATAAAAAAAACGGTATCGAAAAAAAAAGAAGAAGAACTTTTAGACACGTCGTTTTTTTCGGTACTCTGACGACGAAAATGAAGCCTGCGAAAATTAAAAGGCGTTGCCAGATCAAGATAGTAAACAGCTGATATCGCGCTGTCTAAATAATTCATTTGATTTATTTAGACACCCCTAATGGAGGGAAAGTTGAAGGAAAAAGGTGGCATTGATAGGGGCTGTCAAGGGGAAGCCCATAATATGGAATTTAACCCACAAAGGACATTTTAATGCCATATTTATTAATATTTTTAATATTTTTTTTTAATATTTGTTTACAAACAGCTGTCCAGTGTGACCAAGGAAAATCCTTAAACGCCATAAAAAGTACATTTTCATGGAATTTCCTTAATTTTTTTGGTCACACTAGCTCGGTAGCGAAATAAACAGCGATTCCGCTGTCTAATTTAGACAGCGGGTTTTTCTCGTCAGAGTACTAGGCTTTAAAGCCTAGTACTCTGACGAGAAAAACCGCTGTATAAATTTAGACAGCGGCCAAACTCCATATAAAAAAAACGGTGTCGAAAAAAAGAAGAAGAACTTTTAGACACGTCGTTTTTTTCGGTACTCTGACGACGAAAATGAAGCCTGCGAAAATTGAATGGCGTTGCCAGATCAAGATAGTAAACAGCTGATATCGCGCTGTCTAAATAATTAATTTGATTTATTTAGACACCCCTAATGGAGGGAAAGTTGAAGGAAAAATGTGGCATTGATAGGGGCTGTCAAGGGGAAGCCCATAATATGGAATTTAAAGCCTAGTACTCTGACGAGAAAAAACCGCTGTATAAATTTAGACAGCGGCCAAACTCCATATAAAAAAAACGGTGTCGAAAAAAAAAGAAGAAGAACTTTTAGACACGTCGTTTTTTTCGGTACTCTGACGACGAAAATGAAGCCTGCGAAAATTGAATGGCGTTGCCAGATCAAGATAGTAAACAGCTGATATCGCGTTGTCTAAATAATTCATTTGATTTATTTAGACACCCCTAATGGAGGGAAAGTTGAAGGAAAAAGGTGACATTGATAGGGGCTGTCAAGGGGAAGCCCATAATATGGAATTTAACCCACAAAGGACATTTTAATGTCATATTTATTAATATTTTTAATATTTTTTTTTGAATATTTGCTTACAAACAGCTGTCCAGTGTGACCAAAGAAAATCCTTAAACGCCATAAAAAGTACATTTTCATGGCATTTCAGGATTTTCCTTAATTTTTTTGGTCACACTAGCTCGGTAGCGAAATAAACAGCGATTCCGCTGTCTAATTTAGACAGCGGGTTTTTCTCGTCAGAGTACTAGGCTTTAAAGCCTACGAGAAAAAACCGCTGTATAAATTTAACCAGCGGCCAAACTCCATATAAAAACAACGGTGTCGAAAAAAAAGAAGAAGAACTTTTAGACACGAAGTTTTTTTTGGTACTCTGACGACGAAAATGAAGCCTGTGAAAATTGAATGGCGTTGCCAGATCAAGATAGTAAACAGCTGATATCGCGCTGTCTAAATAATTCATTTGATTTATTTAGACACCCCTAATGGAGGGAAAGTTGAAGGAAAAAGGTGGCATTGATAGGAGCTGTCAAGGGGAAGCCCATAATATGGAATTTAACCCACAAGGACATTTTAATGCCATATTTATTAATATTTTTAATATTTATTTTTGAATATTTGTTTACAAGCAGCTGTCCAGTGTGACCAAAGAAAATCCTTAAACGCCATAAAAAGTACATTTCCATGGAATTTCAGGATTTTCCTTAATTTTTTTTGGTCACACTAGCTCGGTAGCGAAATAAACAGCGATTCCGCTGTCTAATTTAGACAGCGGGTTTTTCTCGTCAGAGTACTAGGCTTAAAGCCTAGTACTCTGACGAGAAAAACCGCTGTATAAATTTAGACAGCGGCCAAACTCCATATAAAAAAAACGGTGTCGAAAAAAAGAAGAAGAACTTTTAGACACGTCGTTTTTTTCGGTACTCTGACGACGAAAATGAAGCCTGCGAAAATTGAATGGCGTTGCCAGATCAAGATAGTAAACAGCTGATATCGCGCTGTCTAAATAATTCATTTGATTTATTTAGACACCCCTAATGGAGGGAAAGTTGAAGGAAAAAGGTGGCATTGATAGGGGCTGTCAAGGGGAAGCCCATAATATGGAATTTAACCCACAAAGGACATTTTAATGCCATATTTTTTAATATTTTTAAAATTTTTTTTGAATATTTGTTTACAAACAGCGGTCCAGTGTGACCAAGGAAAATCCTTAAACGCCATAAAAAGTACATTTTCATGGAATTTCCTTAATTTTTTTGGTCACACTAGCTCGGTAGCGAAATAAACAGCGATTCCGCTGTCTAATTTAGACAGCGGGTTTTTCTCGTCAGAGTACTAGGCTTTAAGCTTGAAATAGTCCTATGGCTAAAAACAAGGTTGCCCAACAATTTTACAGTAATCTAAAAAAAAAAATAAAACCTCAAAATCAACAATCAACAACATAATTTTGGAGCAAATCAATTTAATTAAACGAATTGCTTTAAAATTCTTTTAACTTTGCCCAGAATCGACATTGTTTGGGGCAGCTTTTGCCAAAAATTACATTCTTGAGCACGGCCGACGACATAAAAGTCGAAGAGGAAGAAGAAAAGGCTGTGAAGAGGCGCCAAAGAAGCGCAACACTAAGCTTCACGAGTTGATGGACTTCGACGGATAATGTGTTACAGTGCATTAGGAGATCTTCCAGTTAGCGAGCAGATTTTTTGAAGTCCCTAAGGTCTTCTAAGATTGAGAAGTTTGTAGAGGCCCTAAGGTCTTCTAAGATTGAGAAGTTTGTAGAGGCCCTAAGGTCTTCTAAGATTGAGAAGTTTGGGGAGGCCCTAGATCTTCCAAGTTCGAGAAGTTTGGGGAGGCCCGTGCATGGCCGCGCCGTCTTGCTAAATGTGACCTCTTCGACAAATCTCCCATTTGAGGGTGCTGTCGGTTCTCTATAATAAGGTCTCTGTCGGTATACAGACGATCTCGAGCTGTATGCTGAAAATGTTGTAGACGAAGCTCTCGACGGCGCTCTCGCCGGCACATCCCTGGCCAAGGATGGCTGCCACTTTGCGACCTCCAACCCCACCAATGGCGATGCATGCTGAGCCTGAGCCTCGGGCTGCTGCATCCCTGCACTTCGTTCAAACGGCCGGGATACGAGGAAGTAGAGGACATCCTCCCTACTGCCCTCTATCGTTAAGCGCAACTTTTTATTAGACATAAGGACACCAAACGACGCGAATCCACACAACGGGTTGAGCAGGCAGTGTTGCGAAATGAAAAGTTTTTGGAAAATCATGAATTTTGATTTCTTTTATTTTTTATTTACAGCTTCTGCAGCTGAATTTATATCTATCTATATTTTATTTAGGGGGGTCTTCTCATTGGGAAACTTTTTTTTTTCGATTTTTTTTTTTTTGCATTTATTTATAGCTTGGGGTGGTGTGTATATGTCCCCAAAATGATTTTTAGAAATTCGAAATACTTTAGAAGATACAGCCTTTTTTGTGAAGCAAGGTCTATGCAAAATGACCTTTTTTCAAACTTCAATCGCGTATATCTCGAAACCACGTTTTTCGAACTGGCGGCCATGATATCTCCAGTTTAACTCAACCGATTTTCATGAAACAAAGTGGAATCGACGCAGAATTGTCACCATTCTCGGGTGACGGAACAGATTTTTTTTTAATTTTTTTAAATATTTTTTTTTTACACTAAACTACAAAAAAAAAGCCCGAAATCGAAATTTTTTTTTTGAATGGCCGCCATTTTGTTTAAAAAATTTAAAAAAAAAATCTGTTCCGTCACCCGAAAATGACATCTATTCTGATTATAACCCCGTTTTTCTTTTTCATTTCGGACGCTCTGGAGACCCTGAATCGTGGCCGCCAGGACGACACCTTTTTTTTCGACCACGAAGTTTGAAGTCTCATTACTCTTTGATCAACCCTCGTATCGAAGCAAGAACAACTTTTTTAGTTACTTTGAACATTTTTGAATACAATAAATAAAAAAAGTTTTCAATTATTCTTTGCGTTTTCAAATAAGAATTTTTTTAATAAGGGTCCAAAAAACGGCTTTTGAATGAGAAGACCCCCTTAACATGTGAGGAGGCCTCACAACCAGGGGCAGTTTTGTAGTGTTTAAGATCATTTCCATTTCATAGTATCTAAGTTCATTTTCAATTCTGTTGTCTGTAAGCTCATTTATCCCTAGCACGTAAGGTAACATATAGTTAGTATTAGGCATTAGGACATAAGCGACAAATACTAAGACCCACGAAGGGCACACTAGTTAGGGATTTAGTAGTATCCCAGCAGACAAAAACTTCGTAAAAAATATTAAAAACTGAAGTTTTGCGGACCGCAGGCGGACAGACGCCGTGGCGAGACCGGAAAAAGAACCGATAGCGCCCCCTTTACGATACCCGAAAGAGTACCGTTAGTGGACCTGTGGCGATACTCAAAAAAAGTACTGTTTGCGGACCTTTGACGATACCCGAAAAAGTACCATTTGCGGTCTTTTGACGATGCGTTTCAGATACATTTTTAATATCTATTTCCAACTAAATTTTTTAGAATTTCGGGTTTCTTAAATGTAAATAAAACATACATTTATTTATGTTTATCATTATTTATTATTTATCATTATTTAACTTAAAAAATAAACATTTTACTTAAGATTTGTAAAACTTAAAACTAATAATACTAATATAAACCGTCCTGTGCATTCTGCTTTTGTGTCACTCTATCGAAATCTGCGTCCTCCAACGCATATTTGTTTATAAAAGGGGCTGCAAAAATATAAATTATTATAAGTATATACGTATTAAAAAATATGGGAAAAATATACATACCTTTGACGGATGACGTAATAAGCATCTCTCGAATGGACATTTTGGACTCTGTCCCAAACCAGGACCATTGGCGCGCCACTTCGTCGGAAATTAAGTCTCGCCAGCATAAGTAAATATAAATCTAGTCAATATTAGTTCATTAGTAAGAGATTGTACATATTAATCAATTTAAATTTAACACTTACCGTTGAAAACACGTGCGTCTTGTAAAAAACTGTTCACTCACGTCCGTACAACTCGCCGGTCAAAAGGAAAAGAGTCGCGACGGTATAAATTTCTCAAACCAAAAGAGTTGAAAGATGATGCAATAATATTTGCCTCTCGCTCATTTGCAGCGAAATAACAAAAAACAGGCAAGCGACAAAAGAAGGAAGGAGAAGAACCGTTCATCGAGTTCTAGAAATTTCGTTGACGACAAGATTTTTAACGCGTGCAGTGCGCTTTAGTGTCCGTTAGCGGGAAATTTGCGGCATTTTCACGGGTCCCAGTGTTCGCCCGTTTTAGTATCTGTTTTCGGGCCAGGTTTCGACAATTAGGCAAACCTATTGCGGTAAGTCCGCTATTTGGCCGCCCGCTGTACGTTTAAGTTTCCGTTAGCAATACGTTTTCGGCATATTTACGAGGAACACCACAGTTTTGCTTTTCGTCCGTTTGCGCGTCCGTTTTTGAGCATTCCCCGAACCTAATGCGGAAACTCCGATTCTTTGTTCGCATTTAATATTTTTAGCGGACATTTCTCGGATCCATCCGCACCGAGACCGCTCTTTGCCTGCTGGGTAGGGACTAGGTTTAAGAGAAACGCGCTCGAGACTTAGATTTAAGAGAAAAAAAACGACGAAGAGACGACGAGCGGCCGAACACACACACGGGCGGCCGAAGAACCACGAACAGCCGAAGAAAACAACGAGCGGCCGAGGGCGGCCGAACATACACAAGAGCAGCCGACCGAGCCGAAGGACGGCCAGCCGAACCGTCTTCGGCAAACACCCGAAGGCAAGGCCCGATCAGCCGAAGCATGGCGTCGGCACACACGACAGGGCCCGAGCAGCAGATCGGCGGCCATGACACCAGCCGAAGCTCGCCCGAAGCTTCCCGAAGTCGGGAGTAAAACGACGCCACCGATCGCCGACGGCCTATAAAAGGGCCTCGGCAAGCCGAGCCCGGTCTCTCGGAATACCAGCAACAGACCAGACGTGCCACGGAGCTACAGGAATACCATTGGAATAAAACCACGCCGCCGGCCACGTGCCCAAAATGGAGTTGGAGTAAGCTACTGGTGAGCTGGCCAAGGGCCAACCCCTGCGGGGGAGGACTCGGAGTGCGATAGGGAACAGTTAGGAATTGATAGGGAATAGCTAGGTTTGCCAACATTGTAAAATAAACTCTGGACATATAAACGAACCGAACGGCGGAATATTATTTACCCTCTTGGCACCCCATTATTTCTGGAGAGCAAGGGCCACCGGCACATGGCCAGCGTGGTCGGCAACCCTTCGCTTCTCCTTTCTTAGAGGAGGGGCCGGTACCTTCCTTCTTCCTTCTTCCCTAAAAATCCCCAAAGGGAATTTTCGTTCGAAAAAAGCCCTCCCATTTGCAGAAGAATTTCATCCTCCCCTGTTCGCGTCCTCCCGAAAAGTCCGACTGGGTATTGATAGCGACTCCCCTTCCCCCTTCTCTAGCGACAAACGCGCAAACTTGCGCTAAATTCGATCGAAAATGGACGTTTCTGTGCCTTCTCCTTCTGTTGAAAAAGATTGGAGTACGGATTTAATACCTGTTCACGCCAGAAAGGAGCTCAATTTCGGGAGGCAGTGTGATCCCGAACGCTCTCCTTTTCTCTCCCTCTTCCTCCGGACTTCCAGTCCTAGAGCTTCTAATCCGCTCTCCCTAGCTTTAGTTTTTGTTCTTTTGTATTCAGTACCAATTTACCTACGATTTAATAAAGACATCCGACGCACGTCGCGTAAAAACCCGAAAGTTCTACGTGTTCTTATTTCGAGTGCACTTCAGAGTTAGAGCCGCCCCCCTCTAACAATACCAATTATTAAAAGCCTACCCTTTCTCACAAAGAATTATTCGGCTGAAATGCTTGACCATCATATAAAAGTGCTTATGAATCTGGCTAAGAATTCTACAGATCTTCCACGTAATACCGTGAATATCGTCAACACATTGGGGGGTGGGGGAAGCCCTTTTTCCTCCTTGTTGACGGCCTCTTCATGCCAGTGGTAAGAAAGTAAAACTAAAGTGTAGTGTATAAGTTTAGTTGCACAAACTTGCACAAAAAATGCTTCGTGTTGGTGTTCGTGTATATATATCAGTGATCTAGCCATGTTTCTAAGCAATTTATTTTATTCGAATGAACTTTATTTTTTTTTTTTTAATTTTATCAAAACCAAATCAATTTATTTTCTGCTATTTTTTTATTTTGCCTATTATTTTAAGTTATAAAGTTTATATTATTAATTTATAATTTTATTTATTTATTTTCAGTATTCCACTTGCAAAAAAAAAAAAATACGTAGCTTATACCTATGCCATGCAGTCCTATGATGGATTGTCATTCCATATTTGCTACTTAGGAATAACGTACAAATATAATATTATAAAGATCCACGAAGACATTAGCTACATTTTAAATCAACGTTAAATTATTAAATTGGATAAACTTTTATTGACCATAGTTGCGGATCATTGTACTATTAACTTAAAAATTGCAAATATTAGCCCAACAAAGATCCCTCTACTTTGGGACTACAGACATTGCCTGGCCATTTTGACAGAAACTCATTTTACAGATGGTAATTATGTTCTTAGTAAATTATATAATTTTAGTTTCCTAAAAGTAAACATAGAGTCTGATTTACAAAAATTAATAGACCATTCAAATACAAATTTGTATGGTACAGGGAAACCCATAATTTTGGAGCAAATCCATTTATAATTAAACGAATTGCTTTTAAATTCTTTGAACTTTGCTTTAGCCAAAAATGACAATCTTGAGGCTGTAGGGCAAAAATGGCAATGTGGTTTTCGGCACACAATAACCAATTTGAGTATCTCAATGGAGTACCTCGAGATATACGGGCTGGACTTCTACTCCTCCATTGTTGGCGTCCCAGCACTTTTCGAGAGCACGGCTCACGATGGGTAGGTTTTCACTTTTTTCTATGCTTTTTATTTCCGTCTTCTTTCAATTTCGGCGTTGGTGGAGGTGGAGGTGGAGGTGGAAATCGCGGCGACGACGGCGACGATTGGAGACAGGGGTGGAACCGCGGTCCCCCAGCCTGGAGGCCAGGACGCGGGAGCTCAAGGGCACGTGGTGGGCCACGTGGCCGTGGACAACGTGGCAACAGGGGGTCACGCGGTTCATCACGTGCCCTTGGACAACGTGGCAACAGGGGGCCACGTGGCAATGGATTAGGCGACGCAAGCTCTGCAGGCGGTCTCAATCGACGGGAGCGCTGGGCCTTGGCCCAGCATGCCATCCAGATGGGCCATCCGGAGCTCCGTGACGTTATGCTGAAGTTACCAAACAGAGCTGCTGCTGCTCCCGCGTTCGTTGGGCCGCCAGCTGCTGCTGCTGCTCCCGCGTTCGTTGGGCCGCCAGCTGCTGCTGCTGCTCCCGCGTTCGTTGGGCCGCCAGCTGCTGCTGCTGCTCCCGCGTTCGTTGGGCCGCCAGCTGCTGCTGCTGCTCCCGCGTTCGTTGGGCCGCCAGCTGCTGCTGCTGCTCCCGCGTTCGTTGGGCCGCCAGCTGCTGCTGCTGCTCCCGCGCCAGTTGGGCCGCCAGCTGCTGCTGAAAACAAAGATATTGAAATGCTTTAAAATATCTTCAAAAATTACAATTTATTTTATTCGAATGAACTTTATTTATTTTTTTTAATTTTATCAAAACCAAATCAATTTATTTTCTTCTATTTGAATTATTTTGCCTATTATTTTAAGTTATAAGGTTTATATTATTAATTTATAATTTTATTTATTTATTTTCAGTATTCCACTTGCAAAAAAAAAATACGTATGCCATTCAGTCCTATGATGGATTGTCATTCCATATTTGCTACTTAGGAGTAACGTACAAATATAATATTATAAAGATCCACGAAGACATTAGCTACATTTTAAATCAACGTTAAATTATTAAATTGGATAAACTTTTATTGACCATAGTTGCGGATCATTGTACTATTAACTTAAAAATTGCAAATATTAGGCCAACAAAAATCCCTCTACTTTGGGACTACAGACATTGCCTGGCCACTTTGACAAAAACTCATTTTACAGATGGTAATTATGTTCTTAGTAAATTATATAATTTTTTGATTTACAAAAATTAATAGACCATTCAAATACAAATTTGTATGGTACAGGGAAACCCATAATTTTGGAGCAAATCCATTTAATTAAACGAATTGCTTTTAAATTCTTTGAACTTTGCCCAGAATCGACATTGTTTGGGGCAGCTTTAGCCGAAAATGACAATCTTGAGGCTGTAGGGCAAAAATGGCAATATGGTTTTCGGCACACAATAACCAAATTTGAGTATCTCAATGGAGTACCTCGCACTTTTCGAGAGCACGGCTCAGGATGGATGATGTGTAGGGTAGGTTTTCACCAAAGGCGCCAAAGCTTCAAGAGTTGATCGACTCCGACGGATAATGTGTAACAGGATTAGGCCTTTACCCTTTGCTCCTTTTGGAGGACTTGGCCGCCGGCCGAAAACTGAATTCTCCAAGGGCTGGAGCTCGCCTTATATAGCGTTTCGGTGGGGGCGAGTGTGACCGACGCACCCGGAGAAATTTGCCATTAGAGTGTGGCCAGATCCTCATGTGGGCCAGAGTGACCCTTTGCGCATGATCGTGGCGCGTCACAATTGAGGATACCAATTTTACGATTTTTAAACGGTAACTCAAAATCGTTTTTAAATTAGGGGTTAAACTTCTTTAACTAATTCTACAGACATTTTGTAATTTTTTAAATTTTTAATTTAATTGAATTTTTGTATTTAACAAAGTAACTAAAACTAAGCTCTTGTAATTTTTAGATCTTTTTAGCATTTCAGGAGCAGTTTCCCGATTTCGCGGGCTCCTTTTACCACGCCAGTATCAATTCCATTTGGCGTTCTCTGAGAAATAGGTATGTTTTTGTTTATACCGAGGAACTGCTGGAGGATAACGAATACTATTTCAGCGAATATATATTCCAAAGTAGGGAATTACAAGCCCTTTGAAAACTATACTACGAGTTTCCTAAAACTCCAGATCAACCAAAATGTCCTGCTGGTCACCTCGCAATGCCTGAAATCAAGCAGCTTTGAGATTAAGACGAACCGCTTCGTTGGCCAACGAAATTTCCATCCATCTCCGGGGCTCATCGAATTTGATCTCCTATATACAGGACTGCTCCGGTAATCATAAATTTTTTCGATTTCGTTTTGGGCGAAAACGAACCGTTTTCGTTTCTAGCTGCTCCGGTTTTCGGCAAATTTCTGCTATCGGAGTGTTTCGGTTTCTCATCGTTTTTCATTGCTCAAGCAGCTAGCTTGTGTTTTTGGTTATAAGCAAACAACGTAAAGTACTGCCTATTATATTTACAATTTTCCTTTTTATAAGCCAGAAAAAGGCAAAAAATGTTAGAGTTAAGCAAATCTAGGCACCTAAGATGCTGCCACACTTTTCACAGTTTTAATTCCGGTGGTCTCAAATAATTATTTGGTTAATTTGGACCATTTAAGTAATCACATTAAATAGCATTATTTATAAACAACCATTTTGGCGGTTCTTTAAAGTTATTAATATATTCATTTATATTTTATAAATATTTTTAACTGGCTGTTTCGTTCCACCAACAATATGGCAACCTTGGCGATAACTTTTTGCGGTAAACTTATCGACCTATCGCCAAAACGAGAAAACTGGTTGAACACGGCAAAAATTTTGTTGTCAAATCTGAGGTGGGGTCACAAATAAATTTTTTATAAAATAACTACCTGCCAGAATGATCTTGTGGTGGTGTGGAATAAACATCAATAGACCACTGAGTAAACACTTTTTTTCCTTTTGTATATAAGATGTGATTTCATATAAAAAAAGCCATTTACTTTTCATTCCGGCCATAAAAAGGTGCCCGTTTTTCAAATCGAAAAAATCTTTCGTTTTCGATTACCGGAGCACCAATTTCTCGTTTTCAAAAACGAAAACGAAAAAATCTTGCCGTTTTCGATTACCGGAGCAGGCCTGTATATAACTGGACAGAAATTTAAATTTCTGTTACTTAAAGCCTAGTACTCTGACGAGAAAAAACCGCTGTATAAATTAGACAGCGGAATCGCTGTTTATTTCGCTACCGAGCTAGCGTGACCAAAAAAATTAAGGAAATTCCATGAAAATGTACTTTTTATGGCGTTTAAGCATTTTCCTTGGTCACACTGGACAGCTGTTTGTAAACAAATATTAAAAAAATATATTAAAAATATTAATAAATATGGCATTAAAATGTCCTTTGTGGGTTAAATTCCATATTATGGGCTTCCCCTTGACAGCCCCTATCAATGCCACCTTTTTCCTTCAACTTTCCCTCCATTAGGGGTGTCTAAATAAATCAAATGAATTATTTAGACAGCGCGATATCAGCTGTTTACTATCTTGATCTGGCAACGCCATTCAATTTTCGCAGGCTTCATTTTCGTCGTCAGAGTACCGAAAAAAACGACGTGTCTAAAAGTTCTTCTTCTTTTTTTTCGACACCGTTTTTTTTATATGGAGTTTGGCCGCTGTCTAAATTTATACAGCGGATTTTTCTCGTCAGAGTACTAGGCTTAGGCGCTAATTAGGGCAATTTTTAAAGAATAGTCTAAAAAATCAGCTCGCGTCAGCTGCTGAAAAAATCAAACATGTTTGGTTGATCAAACAGAGCGGAGCGGAGCTGACCTTATCAGCTTTTAGCTCCGCTCTCAGTGTGCGCGCTCTCATACAAGTAGTGTGTTTGTTTCAGAGAGCTGATAAGCCGTCAGCCGTCAGCTCCGCTTTCAGCTCGTAGTGTGCGCGCGGCCTAAGAGCTAAGGATGAGCCACATATTCCAAAGGCAAATAAGCTTAAAAGGTGAAACAAGCAGAAAAAGTTCTGGAGAGGGGATTTATAACAAAAACAACAAGTCAAAAAACAAAGTCTTTATATTTTTAAGCCTAGTACTCTGACGAGAAAAACCCGCTGTATAAATTAGACAGCGGAATCGCTGTTTATTTCGCTACCGAGCTAGTGTGACCAAAAAAAATTAAGGAAAGTCCTGAAATGCCATGAAAATGTACTGTTTATGGCGTTTAAGGATTTTCTTTGGTCACACAGGACAGCTGTTTGTAAACAAATATTCAAAAAAAATATTTAAAATATTAATAAATATGGCATTAAAATGTCCTTTGTGGATTAAATTCCATATTATGGGCTCCCCTTGTCAGCCCCTATCAATGCCGCCTTTTTCCTTCAACTTTTCCTCCATTAGGGGTGTCTAAATAAATCAAATGAATTATTTAGACAGCGCGATATCAGCTGTTTACTATCTTGATCTGGCAACGCCATTCAATTTTCGCAGGCTTTATTTTCGTCGTCAGAGTACCGAAAAAAACGACGTGTCTAAAAGTTCTTCTTCTTTTTTTTCGACACCGTTTTTTTTATATGGAGTTTGGCCGCTGTCTAAATTTATACAGCGGTTTTTTCTCGTCAGAGTACTAGGCTTTAAAGCCTAGTACTCTGACGAGAAAAACCCGCTGTCTAAATTAGACAGCGGAATCGCTGTTTATTTCGCTACCGAGCTAGTGTGACCAAAAAAAATTAAGGAAACTCCTGAAATTCCATGAAAATGTACTTTTTATGGCGTTTAAGGATTTTCCTTGGTCACACTGGACAGCTGTTTGTAAACAAATATTCAAAAAAAATATTAAAAATATTAATAAATATGGCATTAAAATGTCCTTTGTGGGTTAAATTCCATATTATGGGCTTCCCCTTGACAGCCCCTATCAATGCCACCTTTTTCCTTCAACTTTCCCTCCATTAGGGGTGTCTAAATAAATCAAATGAATTATTTAGACAGCGCGATATCAGCTGTTTACTATCTTGATCTGGCAACGCCATTCAATTTTCGCAGGCTTCATTTTCGTCGTCAGAGTACCGAAAAAAACGACGTGTCTAAAAGTTCTTCTTCTTTTTTTTAGACACCGTTTTTTTTATATGGAGTTTGGCCGCTGTCTAAATTTATACAGCGGTTTTTTCTCGTCAGAGTACTAGGCTTAAAGTACAAAGGACAAAAAAAGTGTCAAAAGTGACAAAAGGTGAACCATGGAGAGGCTTTGTCACGCTGTAGATATGCGTTGCATATAGTGGGCATCTAGACCACTGCACAGTGGTTCCGTCAGAGGCCAAAAATCAAAAAAACCGATTTGAAAATATTTCAATAAAATTTACACAGTTTGTCTCTAAAATGTCCAATCTACCAATTTGCAAACCGGTTTTCGCCGGAAACCCAACGGTACATTTTAAAAATAGAATCAAAAGCATGAAAACGTGTTCATTTCAACAGCGCATCGGAGTTGTGGTGAAATATTTCGAAGCAAAAGCGCACTTTAAATCTGACTGGTAACTGTTCAAGTTGATAAATTTATATTATTTAAAATGGATTTTTTTTTTTATTTTACTTTATGAAATTAACTTATACTAACTTGATATAAAATTAATAAAATCTAACTTGATATGTGAAACTTATTTGTTTGTACCTGTTTTGTGTGTCTCAAATTTGTTTACCTAAAGTTTTAGTTGTGATCCCACACGATTCCAAATAAGGATTTTTTTTTTATTTATCAGAGTTTTAAGATTTTAAATCGTTAAACGTTAGGTGCGGAATGTTGCGGATGTAGTTGTAATCGTTAATATGCTAACACGACTTCTTATTTTTTCAAGGTCAAATTTTGCCAGCGCCATATGAGTTCGACTCGCGGATTCGCCAACAAGGTGGAGGAGACGCTTGCCAACAAAAGGCAACGCTCAACCGAAAGTGCCTCTATGGACGCACCGGGGAGCAAGCGGCAACGCGGGCCTAAGGAGGCAGGCCCTCCTCAAATGCCGAAAAAGCCCAAAAAAACCGCAAAAGTCAGTGAGGTGACCAAACGACACCTGATCGTGGCCCTCATTGACAGAAGCGATGAAGCCGGCAAAATGACCGAGGCGCAGTGGAAGATGGTGCATGCGCGGCTCGTTGAGTCATTGTACACACGGATGGAGGATGATCCCGAAGCTCCCATGCCCACCTTCGATGGCGCTGGGTGGCTAAATGGGGTCAAAATCCTAAAGTGCATGGATGACCCGACGAGAAAGTGGCTGACGCAAGCGGTCTGCCAGTTGGAGGCGCTGCGGACCGGGCGCTGAAGCTGCTGCAGCGTCAGAACCCGGATATCCCAACCGCGGACTGGAAGGTTCTGCACGTTGCGGCCCCATCACCCAAAGAGGGGGGGCAAAGTGCAGTCCTCCAGATAAACAAGGAGGCAGAGGACATCCTTTATCCCAGATACGGGAAGATGGCGTGGGGCATGGGTAGCGTATACCTGCGCCTCAAAAAGCGCCACCCCGGGGATAAGGTTGCTCACGCCCTGAAGGCAGATGTGGTGGAGAAGGACCTAGGTCTGGAAACCATCGTGGATGCCGACCGGGAAATGACGCTGGATGAGTCCGACGAAGGAGAGGACGGTGACCTGACCGTAGTAGTCAACCCGTCGTATGGAGGTGAGGCCAGTACCCATGACACTCAGGGTGCTGCAGCTCAACCTCCATAAGAGCAAGGTCGCGTCGGCGGAACTCCTCATAGCCATGGAGCAAGGATCCGCCGACATAGCTTTGGTCCAGGAGCCATGGATCGCCTCAGGCAATGCCATCGCCGGACTGAAGTCCGCAAATTACAATTTGCTCCATCCACCAACGGTAAGCAGGAATAGAACCGCCGTACTTATACGGAAGGCAGCTCTGATGACCTGACCGTGGTGATGCTAGAGAGCGGGAAAAAGCGCATTTTGGTAGCTTCCTGCTACATGGCACACGACAGAACGGCCCCACCAGAAGAACTCATGAGCTTGGTAGAAGCCAGCACGAAGGACCAGCAACTGCTCGTGGGTGCAGACGCCAACGCGCACCACTGCGTATGGGGGAGCCCCGACATAAACGACAGAGGTGAGTCCCTCTTAGACTTTATACTCTCAACCAACCTGAGTATAGCAAACGTGGGGGAGGAACACACCTATGTAGGTCCCACCTCCTCAAACGTGCTAGATCTTACTCTGGTAAGGGGACAAGGTACTTTGGTATCAGAATGGAGAGTCCTTGAGAGACCATCCTTCTCAGATCATAAGTACATACGGTTCCAATACGCA